CGACGTATGTACATTCCACTGTGATTACATCAGTCGATTTATGTATGCATACGTCAGTCGATTTATTACACATTGATGCGCTCTTACTATGAAAATTTGAATAATATTGTATAAATAAACAATAATATTTATATATAAACTATAAATATACAATTATAATTAAAAAAAAACAAAGCTACTTAGAAATAAAACACTTGAACTAAAAAAAAATCTAAATAAAGAGGGTTTGAACCCGCAACTCCTTTCTATGTACATTTAGGGTTCGGGCTGTTGTAATTGTAAAAATTAAATACAATAACACATTACAAAATATTAATATTGTATTGGAATACCACGGAAGTAATTAAAGCAATAATTATTATTGCATCATGAAACTATTGTGTTTTATTGCTGTGATCTAATTACATCTATGTGATTTTTATTGACATTAATAATAATATTGTTTTGATGAAAAACAATTACAATAATTTTTGTTATGTATTGTATTACTATTTCAAGGTCCAAAAGCAATTGCATTATAATGCATCAAGATTTTTATTCCACGCATTTTTTATTATTTAGGCAAAAGGGCAGGATTGAAAATTAATGTTTTTGTCACAGAAATGGATACACTAAATTGTAAACTTAAAAAAAAAAATACCCTCTGATGATTCTGATAATATTTTAGAAACTACCTTTAAAACAATTTTTTATTTATTTAAAGTTTTGTCGTTGTTTACAAAGACAAACAAACATGGCTTCTGAAAGATGATCATAATGATATTATCATCTGAACCTTTTACAAGTTTTTAAAATCAATACATTAACAAGACTGAAAAATTACGATAAATCGTGATATAAATTGGAAATATAAATCAAACCACTAATTTTTATATATAATAAAAAGTCTGATCTTATCGTCAGAATTTATAAAAAACGTAAATATATAAATACATATATAAATATATATATATATATATATATATATATATATATATATATATATATATATATATATATATATATATATATATATATATATATATATATATATATATATATGTATATATATATATATATATATATATATATATATATATATATATATATATATATATATATATATATATATATATATATATATATATACATATATATATATATATATATATATATATATATATATATATATATATATATATATACAAAGTAAATACAGTAATACATCTCTTTTTATTAGGCAGGAGAAAGTACAACAGTCTAACAATTAAAAAGGCAAATACGTGGTTGTTATTAAAAGTATTTAAATATATCATCAATAGATAAAATAAAATTTTTAAGTTTACTTTTAAAGATCGGAAATGTATTGGATATATCAAAATTAGGTATAACAATTTTATTCCAAAGATAAGGTGCTCGAAATGTAATGCAAAACTTGTTAAATTTTGTTCTGCAAATTGGTTCATATACAAAATTTTTATTTCTAAGTAAATATTTATTAATTGGGTTTAAAGAAAAAAGGTCTTTAAAGATACGTAAAGTTAAATCTTTTTTCCACATGTAAATAAAGCATAAAATCCGCAAAATTAATCAATCGGATCGCATGCTTCTGACGGCGAAAAAGGCATTTTAGATTACTTTTTTGTTTATTGATTACATTTTAGATTACTTTTTTAGATTACACAAATCTAATTCAGCATGAACTGATGTAGGATGAGACATACCCGATATATAAAAATGCAAAAATTCCATAAAATCTAACTTCCAAAAACATTTTTCTTTCTTTTTTTTTTACAACAGTTGCAGGAATACCAGATAAACAAACATCTTACCTTCATCAAATCTATCTTCTGATTCATTAATTATATGATTTATAAGAGGAGATGTGATGGAATATTTAAAATAATCTGAAACTGTGTCCGAGGGATAATTATTTCTATAAATTTGTCTGCCACAGAGCCTTGGTTTAACTTCTGAAACATTAAGAGTCTTAGCTAGATCAAGAGCAGTTAAGTACCATTCGTTATGATAGACATCAATATTTTTATTTAATCTAAAATTTGAGTTTTTAAACAATTTATTTCATTACACTGTTTTGATATATCAAACACTTTAGTTTGAAGAACAAGTGATGGCATAGAAATAGTCCATTATTTGTTTAATTAAAACTAAACTTACAATAAAAGAAAAATTAGTCGCAAGATTTAAAAAACATGAAGCTTTTGAAGAAGTATCAATATTATAACTCTTACCTTCATTGTATGCCATTTCTTCCAAAGAATGAAAAACGAATATGTAGTTACCGAAAAAAACATCCAGACCTTTAAGTTTCTGAACCCATCTAGTTCGACATGTATCAATTAAATTTGCTTGACCAGCAAAAATGAATTTATTGAGACAGCTGGCACATTTAGATGATAAATTAAAAAAATATGATATATCTTTGATTTGATCAAGAATTGAATGGGGGATTTCAACCTTGACTGCTTCCAGTATAATGAAAAAATTATATAAAAAAGTTTTATAATCATTTATTTGAAACGGGAACAATACCCATTATAAATAAACCTACTAGAATAATAAATTTTTCATCCTCCTTAATTGACAACGTTCTTACCAATGACTATTTCAATATTACACTCAAAAAAGGTATTATAAAAACTGATGTTTCGGATCACTTTCCAATTTTTTTCTGCTTAGGCGCTGACCACAAAACAAATACGAATGGTAAAATAACATAAAAAAAACGAATTTATAGCAACAATAACTTAAATTTATTTAAAGAGCAACTTTTACACCAAGACTGGAGCTATATAAACTTTAATGAGGATATAAATATCATCTACAAATCTTTTTTTAATATATTTTACAAAATATATGAAGCAAATTTTCCTATTCGAGAAATAGTTCTTAACGCCAAAGACATATCTTGTCCTTGGATAACTAAAGGAATAAAAAAAACATCAAAAATAAAACAAAAACTCTATATTAAATATCTTAAAAATAAATCCGACAAACATAAAAATAACTACACAGTTTACAAAAATCTATTTGAAAAACTCCGAAAAAAAGCCAAACAAATTTACTACTCTTATTTGCTTATAAAACACAAGCATAATTCAAGGCGGGTGTGGCAAATAATGAAAGAAATTACTAGCAAACATAAGACAAACACAAATACGATGCCGAATGCTATAAAATTTGAAAATAAGTTAATTACCGATTCAAATGAAATCGCAGCCGAATTCAATAACTTTTTTTCGTCAATAGGACATAACTTATCAAACAAGATTCCTTATGTAGACAACGACTCCGTTGATGAATTTATATCATCACCAAATTCAACTATAAATTTTTCAAATCTAACTTATAATGAATTCGAAATTGCATTTAAATCATTAAAAAGGAATAAAGCAATAGGGCCTGATGATATAAATGCAAATATTGTAATCGACTCTTTTAATGAGATTAAAGATATCCTCTTCAAAATCTTCAAAGCATCTATTACTCAAGGATCGTTTCCAAATAGTTTGAAAATAGCCAAAGTAACTCCAATCTTTAAAACAGGTGACCATACCAACATAACAAACTATCGTCCTATCTCAGTTCTACCGGTCTTTTCAAAAATATTAGAAAGAATAATGTATAATAGAATTTACACTTATTTTATTGATAATAAACTCCTTTATAAAAATCAATTTGGTTTTCAGAGAAACAGTTCTACTGAACACGCTATTCTCTAAGTAACACGCAGTATTGCCGATTCATTTAAGAATTTTCAATTCACACTAGGCATATTCACTGACTTGTCAAAAGCTTTTGATACTGTTAATCATCATATTTTAATAAAAAAGCTAGAGAGCTATGGTATAAAAGATAAAACCCTAAATTGGTTCAAAAGCTTTCTAAGTAACCGCAAACAATTTGTTTATAACAAAGAATTTTCATCGCAAATAATAAAAAATATAACGTGCGGTGTCCCCCAAGGGTCCATACTTGGACCACTATTATTTCTATTATACATAAATGATCTTTACAAAGCATCTACCCTAACGACCGTAAATTTTGCAGATGATACGAATTTATTTCAGTCGCACGAAAACATAGAAATACTTTTTAATAATATGAATAATGAATTAAAAAGAATATCATATTGGTTTAGAAAAAATAAATTGTCCTTGAATACGGATAAAACAAAGTTTATACTTTTTCACCCAACCTCTAAAAAATAGAGAATCCAAAATATCTTATCTGACCTATTCATTGACAATACAATCATAAAAAGAGAAAAATTTACAAAATTTTTAGGAGTGATAATAGATGAAAACTTATCTTGGAGTCAGCAAATTGATAGTATTTCAATGAAAGTTGCTGAAAACATTGGAGTTCTATACAAAGCTCGATATATACCAAATAAAAAGCAACTAACTCAACTATATTATTCATTTATTCATTGCCATATAAACAATGCCAATATTATATGGGGAAGCGCTCACAAAACCAAACTTAAATCTCTCTATCGGCATCAGAAACACGCAGCTCGCATAATTAATTTTGGAAATCGTTTTTCAAGCTTAACACCACTTCTTATAGAAATGAAAGCTTTAAATATATACGAACTAAATATTTTTAATTTTATGTTTAAATGTAAAGAAAATTTATCTCCAAGTGTATTTATAAATCTCTATAATTTGAAGCCAAAAAACAAATATGAACTTCGTGATAGTAAAAATGAAAAAATGAAAAGAGCCCTTTTGCAAAACAAAAATTGACCAGTTTTGTATTTCTTATCGTGGTCCATTTCTTTGGGATAAAATAGTTTTACCTAACTTTAATTTTTCTTTGAAATGGTCTTATTCCTCCTTTAAAAAGAAAACAAAAGAAATAATCTTTTCAACACAAAATATATTTATTTATTTTTAGTATTTCAAGTTATTTGATATTTTTGTCGACTGTGTGATGAATATTATTTAAACAATATATGCTGAATACTTTATATTGTAATATTGTTCAATATTGAGAATGTTATATATCCATATTATAAAATATTATGTTAAAACTTGCTTAACATTTGAAGAATATTCTAACGCTTATGTAATTTTTAATATTTGTAAATTTTCTACCTTTTAATTCGTTATATAGATTATAAAGGGCTTCATGATAAGATCATGTGATCTTCTGGAAGTCCTACCAGTAATATATTCAATGTAAATTTAACTTGTACATATTTTTCTGGGAAAAAAACTTGTTAAATTAAATTAAATTAAGAACATTTCTAACACTCTGAACATTGCATGATTTACTTACAACTAAATTAAGTTTATGGCATACACAATGAACAAAAATAGCCTTTGTATTGATAAATTTAATTCTTGATTAAATACCTTTTGATTTACTAGATATTGCTCCAGCACCATCATATACTTGACCTCTAAATTTTTGGATATCAAGACCAAGATCATCAATTGCAGATATTATGTTTTGCGCAAGACTAAGACCAGTTGTATCAGATTTACATTCAATAAACCGTAGAAAGTCTTAACAAATAAAATTATCACAGTCAATGTATCTTATAACTAGAGATAACTGTTTAACATTAGAACAATCAAAGGCTCCATCACAAAAGATAGAAAAGTAATCTGACTTTTTAATTTTATTAATTAAAACTTCTTCGATTGTTTTTCCACAGCATTCAATAAGTTCGTTTTGTGCGGTTATAGATATCTAGGTTTTGCATTTTTAGGAGCAGAACGAATATGGTGCTCAAGAACTTTATCACTTGCTTCACTACAAAAATTTAAAAGCTCTACAAAGTTATTTATACCAATGTTGTCTTTACATGTTTCTCCGATCTCTGGATGATATTTACTGTCATCAAGATGACCTCGAATTATTGCAATATTATTGTGGCCAAGAAAAATAATTATCTTTATAATTGGAATTTATTTATTTCAATTAATTATAATAAGTTTTTTTCTAAGATTGATGTCAAATTCAAACAACAGTTTTTTTATAGTTTCATTATAACTACATAGGTAAAACTGGGTTTTTATTTTCCTCAGCCAGTTGACGCTTTGCCCAAAACAGTCGTTCAAAGCAATTGCAAAAAATATGGGTTGAACACTTCAGATGATGAACCTTCCAACATCACTGCTCTGGATAATAACCTCAATGTTTCTTATCAAATTCATAATGAAATTAGTGAATTTGAAACTTTATCTGATAACGATTCAGATTAAAGTGATAAGAATATTGTAATAGATGAACTAGAGGGTGATTTAGCATTTTGATCTTCTCAGCATAATATCACACAAGAATTCACTGATTTAATTTGCTGATCTATGACCAGAGCTGCTTAAATGTTAATGCATCCTAAAATTTTATTCAAATTTGTGTTTTTTATGTATTTAAATAAAATTCATTATAGGTATGTATTTTTTATGCTATATTTTGTATGATCTCATCATCATTGTCATCATCCCCCACCTTTATTTTTCTTTATTCTATATATTTATTCAACCTTAGTTATATTTTTTTATAATTTCTTTATTATTAATTTGGCGTTGAGTAAAACAAGTACTTCACTAAGTTTTAATTATTATTTGTTGACTAAAGTATACACTTATTAACTCCGTTAATGTTTAGCCTTAAAATTATTTTTACTGAACATTGTAATATCTTAAGGTAGTATTTTGTATTTCATGTATACTTTTTAATGTATACTTTAAGGTGTTTATAATATACCATAAAAATTTCTATAAACTATATTTTAACATTAGATTTATATGTTTAGAGTACAGAAGTAACCTGATGAAAATTATGATAGTGACTTACAAGATTTTAATGAACATCAAGAATTAAAAAAGTCTTGTCTGCAGACACCTGTCTCTGTATTAAACAAAAGTAAAACGAGATTGG